ACCTCCCTGAAATGAGACGGGAACCTCCCTGAAATGAGACGGGAACCTCCCTGAAATGAGACGGGAACCTCCCTGAAATGAGACGGGAACCTCCCTGAAATAAGGTTTTGCAGGTTGGGATGTCTGATGATGTCACATGAGATACCTACACGTCCTTGGCAGATTGTCAGTATAGACGTATTCAGCTATGCGGGAAAAGAGTACCTGATATTAGTGGATCGTTACTCAGACTTCTGGGAAATTGAACTGCTTCCTGACTTATCCACTGAAACTACAGTTAAGAGGTGCGAGGCGCAGTTTGCCCGTCATGGCCAACCAGATAAAGTGATTTCTGATAATGGCCCTCAGTTCTCAAGCTTACAATTCAGAAGATTTGCCTTTGAATGGGAGTTTGAGCATGTAACTTCCTCACCACGGCATCCACAGGCTAACGGCAGTAGGCTTGGGGTATGGAGGGGGCTGGTAGACAGTCTGAGCTGCAGTATGGGGAGCTCCGTGAATAGTTCCATAGTTGGGTTGGGTAAACACCGCCAAGTTACCCGGTAACAAAGTGCCATGTAGTGTCGCTCGGCGGCATTCGGCTATTCCCTCGCTGCCTTTCGGCCCCTGTGAGAATAGGGCGAATGGCAGCGAGTGAATTGCCGGAGCTTCGGATCAGCCGATCCAGACGTTGGAGTCCAACGGGGTTCTTCACTTCGGCTCAGGCCGAACATGCAGAGCAAGCCGGCCGTTGTACGGCAGAAATCAGCCGTACTTGGCTAAGGTGAACAGCCAGACGGCGTTCAACTTCCTTCACCTCGGCTCGGTTATTCACTCGGCTGCCTCCATCAGATGAGTGAATGACCCCCGTCGTTTTGGGTCATCATACGACGATGAAGCGTAAAGTAGACCGCAGTACTTATATTCAACACCAGGTGGTGATCTCACATGGAACTCCCAGACAGGAAGTGATGTAACGTACAAACAGGAAGTGATGTAAAGTACAAACAGGAAGTGATGTAAGAGTATAAAAAGGAAGTTCCAGGCGAAAGATGAATTGAACGTAAGTAGGGAGGAGACATTGCTGGAAGTGGCAGCAGAGGAGGTAAGAAGATATTATTTTATATTTACACCCGGTAACCCTCCCCCCCCCCACACACAAATATATTTATTATCTTAGAACATCAAAGAGCCTCCACCTCACCGCCTGACCATAGAGGCGAACAGAGCCAAGAAGATCACTGACGGGAGAGGTGAGCGGTGCCGGGAATTCTGGGACATGGTCCAGGAACAGACAAGGGATGTGTCTGGATGGTGACTGTATCATTGTGTGTGTCAGGTTCCTATAAGGTGTCAGGATGTCTCTGTCTATCTCTCCATGGAGGAGTGGGAATATCTAGAAGGACACCGGGATCTCTACAAGGACGTGGTGATGGAGAATGAGCCGCCCCTCACATCACCGGGTAAGAGGAGAGAGCAGTACGGAGGGTCCACCTACATCCCCCATCATCTGATACACACATAGAAACAATGTATTCAGTCAGTGTGTGTGTTCCCTACAGATGGATCCAGTAAGAGGAACCCACCAGAGAGATGTCCCCGCCCTCTGTATTCCCGGGATTCCACACAGGAAGATCTCACCGTACCCCACCATGATCAGGTAGGTGGGACTCGGAATGTAGATATAAAGATGTATTCTAAGCTGCCAGATAATATTTTTCTCCGTGACCTCTTGTTCCTTTGTATGTTTTCTCTTTCTGCTTTTAAAATGTCTTCCATCATCTTTGGGGTTCAGGGTGAAGACCCGGAAGGCATGAAAGTTGAGGGAAAAGAGGAAGAAGAAGAGACGTTGGTGAGTGGAGATCAGCAGTACAAAGAGAATGACGGCCCTCTGTGTTCTCGGGATTTCTTCAAGAAAGATCACAGCTGTACACGCCAGGATCAGGTAGATGGGACTGAACCATGGAACTCAGAAATCATTCTTCCGTGTTATCTCATGTTCCTTCTCATAAATCTATTCCATCATCTTTGGGGTTTTAGGGCGAAGAACTGAAAGACTTCAAAGTTGAGGTTAAAGAGGAAGAAGAGGAGACGTTGGTGGGTGGAGCTCAGCAGTCTATGGAGGAGGGGGAGATGATGATGAAAACTGAACAGGAGGAATCTTCTCTACATATGGACACAAGTAAGTCATAAACACTAAATGTTTTATTTTTTTTTGGGCCATTCCATTCCTTGGATCAGTCCAGATAATTGAGGTTGCAGGTTTAAGACTGAAAGCGTTAATGGTAATACTGTACACTAGAGCTGCAGCTAACGATTATTTTCAAAATCGATTAGTTAGCCGATTATTAAGTTCGATTAATCGGTTAATCGGATAAACAATAAAATAAATTTTAAAAAATGGCTCCAGTGATGGGACTACTAGTTTGTATAACAGTACAATGGTCTCCAGGGCGTCAGAGGTGTTTTGGGGGTTTTGTCTCCTTTCTATGGTTGGTTTTCATATTTTGGGGTTACAATTGGACCCAATTCCATGCCAGAGCTCTGTGATGACTTCTAGACCAACATACATGACTCTGATTACTGACGTGTGTAATGATTTCTCTCCAGCAGATGGATGTGATGTCAGGAATACCTCGGAGAGACATCTTATATTATCTGCTGGTTGTAAGTCAGAAGATAATGTCATCACACAGGATTCTCCAGGAGTGAATCCAAACACACAAAATATACATCACAGACCTCACTGCTCGGAGACATCAATGGATCCCTCTGATCAGGGTGAATCTTCTGATCATTCACATACTATGACTGGAAATATCCATCTAAGATCTCACACTGCAAGAGATCCATCTAATCCCAAGGAATCTTCCTCCCCCCATGAAGGAGATCACAGAGGTGAGGATCCATTCTCATGTTTGGGGTGCGGGAAATCCTTCAAGACAAAAGTTGAACTTCGTAAACATCTCCGATCTCATACCAGTGTAATTTTTTCATGTTCAGAATGCGGGAAATCTTTTAGTAAGGAAACCAAATTTCTTCAACACCAGAAAATTCACACAGTTGAGGATCGTTATTCATGTTCAGAGTGTGGGAAAGGTTTTACTGATAGAAAACAGCTACTAACGCACCAAAAAACTCAAACAGATGATCATCGTTTTTCATGTTCACGGTGCAAAAAATGTTTCACCAGTAAAGGCAGACTTGTAACACACCAGAGGATTCACACTAGTAAGCATGTATGTTCAGAGTGCGGGAAATCATTTGCTTGTTTACATGCATTTCTTACACACCACAGAATTCATACGGGTGAGCGTCCCTTTTCCTGTTTAGAGTGCGGGAAATGTTTTACTCAGAAAGGAGCTCTTAATAGACACCAGAGAAGTCACAGAGGGGACCGTCCTTATTTATGTTCAGAGTGTGGGAAAAGTTTCAACAACAAAAGATTAATCCTGTTACACCAGAGAAGTCACACTGGTGAGCGTCCTTATTCATGTTCAGAGTGCGGGAAATCTTTTACTCAGAAAGCCACTCTTGTTATGCACCAGATAATTCATACAGGTGTGCAGCCCTTTTGCTGTTCAGAGTGCGGAAAATGTTTTTCAAAGAAATTCAATCTTCTTTTACACCAGAGAATTCACACAGGTGAGCGTCCTTATTCATGTTCAGAGTGCGGGAAATCTTTCACTGGGAAATATTTTCTTGTTAAACACCAGAGAATTCATACGGGCGAGTATCCTTATAAATGCTCAGAGTGCGGGAAAAGTTTTACTCAAAAAGGAAGCCTTGCCTTACATCTGAGAACTCACACGGGTGAGCGTCCCTTTTCATGTTCCGAGTGCGGGAAATCTTTTACTCAGAAAAGATGCCTGGCTACACACCAGAGAATTCACACAGGTAAGGGTCCTTTCCCTTGCTTAGAGTGTGGCAAAGGTTTTTCTCTGAAAGGAAGCCTTCTTAAACACCAGAGAAGTCACACAGGTGAGCGACCTTTTTGCTGTTCAGAGTGCGGAAAAAGTTTTGCACAGAAATCCACTCTTCTTTTACACCAGAGAATTCACACGGGTGTGCGTCCTTATTCATGTTCAGAGTGCGGGAAATCTTTCACTTATAAAGCAACCTTTGTTAAACACCAGAGAATTCACAAAGGTGAGACATCTTATTCATGTTCAGAGTGCGGAAAGTGTTTCCCTAATGAAGAAAGACTTGTCAAACACCAGAGGAATCACACGCGTGAGCGTCCTTATTCGTGTTCCGAGTGCGGAAAATCTTTCTCTGTGAAGTATTTTCTTGTTAAACACCAGAGGATTCACACAGGTGAGCGTCCATATTCGTGTTTAGAGTGCGGAAAATCTTTCACTGAGAAAAATTTACTTGTTCAACACCAGAGTATTCACACGGGTGTGCGTCCTTATTCTTGTTCAGAGTGCGGGAAATCTTTTACTCGGAAAGTAGACCTTCGTAATCACAAGAGAATTCACACAGGTGAGCTTCCTTATTCATGTTCAGAGTGCGGGAAAAGTTTTACTCGGAAAGGAAGCCTTGCTTCACATCTGCGAATTCACACAGGTGAGCGTCCTTATTCATGTGCAGAGTGCGGGAAATCTTTCACTCAGAGACATTCTTTTGTTAGACATCAGAGAATTCACACAGGTGAGCGTCCTTATTCATGTTCAGACTGCGGGAAATCTTTCACTCAGAGACAACTCTTTGTGAGACATCAGAGAATTCACAATGATAAGCGTTCCTTAGCAAGTTGAAAGTGCGGGAAAAGTTTCATTCAGAAGAGAAGTTTTGTTAAACACCAGAGAACCCACACCGGTGAGAAACCTTTTTAATATCCGGAGTGTGGGAAATGTTTTACAGATAAAAGAAGTCTAATTGGACATCAGATAGACAATCCTGCTCATTCTTTCGTATGATTCAGTCCATAGAACAACTGGAGGATAAAGTCATTTATAAAGCGCTCATCCCGGGATCAGTGATATTTCATTTATAGTTGAAGTCTGATGGGTCAAGTCTTCTCTCGGTGTCGTCTATGTCTTGGAGACTCTGATGGTGGGACATTTCCTAATCCTTATCAGTTAGGGGGAAGTCTTTTTAAAGGGCCACACCACCAGAAAAGTGTTGTACTTGTTTTATTGAATTCACCCCGATGTGTGTTCCGGAGTCTTTTCATCATTGCAATATAAAACTCTGGAAGAGCTTCATATCCTTCCCTCATATTGATTTTCTTTGTTATATTTTGTAATAATTATAAATATTAAACTGCATGAAGTGGGCGGAGTCACCTGTATCTAGAAGCGCTGTATGTAACTTGCAAAGTTCAATGAATAAAACGTTTGCACACAATGTGCGGGAAATGTACGGTTTGATTTTTCAGTCACAAGGACGGCGGTCCATGTAGAGGAGAGAAAAGCAAAGACTTTGGTGGGTTGGTGCGGATTCCTGCACATAATCGGAACGCTCGGTGGCCGCTGTTCTCTAAATACGGTGGGCGTCCTTAGCGGGTCTATAATAAGCATTAAATTAAAGAGAAACATTTGTATAAATCGTGCATGGGACGAGGACACCCGGGAACAGTCCAAGCGAGTTTGTCCTGCACGTTTGTTTCAGCAAGGCAAATATATCCGGGTCTCTAACCTATTGGCCAGAGTTAGCTAACATTCCTAGCCTGGTGTCTCTAGTGGAGGATCTCAGTTGGCTGTGCGGGGTGTCAAGAAGGCTGTGCAGAGTCTTTGGTGGCTCTGCAGGGTCTCTGGAAGCTGTGTAGGCTCTATGGTGGGCTGTGTAGGCTCTATGGTGGGGTCTTATGTGGGCTTTGCAGGGCCTATGGTGGGCTGTGTGAAGTCTATGGTGGCCTGTTTAGGCTCTCATGTGGGCTGTGTAGGGTCTATGATGGGGTCTCATGTGGGCTGTTTAGGGTCTATGATGGGGTCTCATGTGGGCTGTGTAGGGCCTATGGTGGGGTCTCATGTGGGCTGTGTAGGGCCTATGGTGGGGTCTCATGTGGGCTGTGTAGGGCCTATTGTGGGGTCTCATGTGGGCTGTGTAGGGCCTATTGTGGGGTCTCATGTGGGCTGTGTAGGGCCTATGGTGGGGTCTCATGTGGGCTTTGCAGGGTCTCTGGTGGACTGTGTAGGGCCTATGATGGGCTGTGCAGGGTCTCTGGTGGGCTGTGCGGGGACTAACCAGGGGTCCTGGTTGGTCTTGTAGGTGGGTGCCGGTGGTGTGGTTACACAGGAAGAGGAGGAGATCTCGGGAGTCTTCCTGTGAATGGCCAATAAACATACCAGCCATCTATCACCCCACATCTGTTGAGCTCAGCCAAACCTTTCATTCCACTTCATTGGAAGGATCGCAAACCCCCCTCCATGAAGGATCAGTTTGGATAAAATTTTACCAAAATTTGCTCACTGGAAAAATTGACTTCTAGTTTCAACAACTACAGAGTTCCCTTCCACAACCCCCGGGCCTGCTGGATGGCCTATCGATCTACAATGAGTCATATTTAAAGGGAATGTCCCTCACCGGAGGCACAGAGACGGAACCTTTCCCACCACCATTTAGATGATTTCATTATCTTGATATCGATGACGATGACCTCGGCTCAGAGAAGTCTCGCTTTCTCTCTCTTTGTTACCTTACTTGCTTTTTTCTGTGATATATTGAAGTCAATTGACAAAACGTGCGCATACGTGCGTAAAAACGCTCAAAACCTATTGGAACGCACGGTTTCCATTGAGTCTATGGCTCAGGGAAGTCTCGCTTTCTCTCTCTTTGTTACCTTACTTCCCTTTCTTTTATCTTTTTATCTGTGGTACATTGAAGTCAACGTGCATACGCACGTAAAAACGCTCAAAGCCTATTGCGACGCGCGATTTCCATTGAGTCTACAGGGCCAAAACGAGCCGAGATCCGCCAAATAGAAGCTCGTGTGATTTTTTTCCCGGCGACAAAACGCACGGGGTGTGTACAGGGGCCGTACCAATGAATTAGAGGGGGAAGCTTTTTGTCAGGCTGAAGGTTGACTGCAGTACTTACATTCAACACAAGGTGGAACTCACAGACAGGAAGTGATGTAAAGTACAAACAGGAAGTGATGTAAAAGTATAAAAAGGAAGTTCCGGGCGAAAGATGAATTGAACGTAAGTAGAGAGGAGACGTTGCTGGAACTGGCAGCAGAGGAGGTAATAAGATATTATTTTATATTTACACCCGGTAACTCCTCCCCCCCGCCATGTCCGTCCTCGTCCTCCATATTCATTTATCTCCAGCAACTGCTACACACAAATAAAGGATCAGTTTGGATAAAATTTTACCAAAATTTGCTCACTGGAAAAATTGACTTCTAGTTTCAACAACTACAGAGTTCCCTTCCACAACCCCCGGGCCTGCTGGATGGCCTATCGATCTACAATGAGTCATATTTAAAGGGAATGTCCCTCACCGGAGGCACAGAGACGGAACCTTTCCCACCACCATTTAGATGATTTCATTATCTTGATATCGATGACGATGACCTCGGCTCAGAGAAGTCTCGCTTTCTCTCTCTTTGTTACCTTACTTGCTTTTTTCTGTGATATATTGAAGTCAATTGACAAAACGTGCGCATACGTGCGTAAAAACGCTCAAAACCTATTGGAACGCACGGTTTCCATTGAGTCTATGGCTCAGGGAAGTCTCGCTTTCTCTCTCTTTGTTACCTTACTTCCCTTTCTTTTATCTTTTTATCTGTGGTACATTGAAGTCAACGTGCATACGCACGTAAAAACGCTCAAAGCCTATTGCGACGCGCGATTTCCATTGAGTCTACAGGGCCAAAACGAGCCGAGATCCGCCAAATAGAAGCTCGTGTGATTTTTTTCCCGGCGACAAAACGCACGGGGTGTGTACAGGGGCCGTACCAATGAATTAGAGGGGGAAGCTTTTTGTCAGGCTGAAGGTTGACTGCAGTACTTACATTCAACACAAGGTGGAACTCACAGACAGGAAGTGATGTAAAGTACAAACAGGAAGTGATGTAAAAGTATAAAAAGGAAGTTCCGGGCGAAAGATGAATTGAACGTAAGTAGAGAGGAGACGTTGCTGGAACTGGCAGCAGAGGAGGTAATAAGATATTATTTTATATTTACACCCGGTAACTCCTCCCCCCCGCCATGTCCGTCCTCGTCCTCCATATTCATTTATCTCCAGCAACTGCTACACACAAATATATTTTTCCTGACGCCAATCCATGGCAGCATACAATGGGTATGGCTCCGCCCCCCACCCAATCACAGGACCAGTTATAGTATAAATTAAAGCCCGCCTCCCAAGGCCACCATTCTTTTTTCTGTCCTCGCTGCTCGAGCCGGTTATGCTAAGGATAGGTTGGAGTTTTTTTGCCCTCACCTTGCCGGTTTCTTCTGGCCTGCCGCACAGGTTCAGCCTCTCCTGTTGCGAAGTTCCCTTTGTTCAGGTGGCTGAATGCAATGTTATAAGGGAAGCCCCTCCCCCATAGCCTTGGAGTTGGGGTGCAGGAAATGGTCTCTCTTCATGTTCGGATGCTTCCTCCATCATGGCGGCGGGTTGAACACCAGCTTAGCCTCCTGGCCTGGTGACTCCAGAGAAGAACCGTGACTCAGCTGCAGACATCCCAACTCTCCCGGACGCTCCGGGAGTCTCCCGCTATTGGATAGCGGCTCCCGGCCGCCCCCGGGAGAGAAACACTTCCTCCTGGAAAGGTTTAATCTGCTCGATCGAGCGGATAAACCTTTCACTGCGATCGTTTTTTTGTTTTTCTTTTCTGACATCGGGAGCCGCGGCCGTCAGTCAGAAAAGAAAGGCATAAGAATGCACAGCTAGATTCCTATTGGCTATTGCACTTTGCAATAGCCAATAGCAAACTAGCTATTGAACCCGCCCACTGCTGCTGTCAATCAGCAGAGGGGGACCTGAATTTTTCTATCAGGTCCTCTTCTGGTGATTGAAAGCAGCAGAGGGTGGGTGCAATAGCTAGTTTGCTATTGCAAAGTGCAATAGCCAATAGGAATCCAGCTATGCATTCTTATGCCTTTCTTTTAAAATTTATTCTGACGACTGCGACTGTCAGAATACTAAAAACAAAATCAGAAAAAAAACCTGCAGATAGCAAAGAAGCTATTGCTTCCTGTGCTATCTGCCATCATTTCAGGGGGGTGCTCTCCCCCAGCCCCCCCCTAACCCTCCCTCCGTGGAGTGGGGGGGGGGGGCGTAGAGGGCACCTCCCTGAAATGGCTTCTTTCAGGTTGGGATCCCTGCATCACAAACTAAGGTTGTACTGGGATGATAACATGCATGGACATGCTGACAAGTAGCATCCACTCCATTTTCTCTCAATGAGTCTGTTTCAGTAATACATGTGCTGCTGTTTCCTGTGGCCTTGCAGTGCTGCTATTTCCTGTGGCCTCGCAGTGCTGCTGTTTCCTGTGGCCTCGCAGATTCTATAAGGTGAGGGTCAGGTATGTATGAAGATAAAAATGAGTGTGCAAATGCATGGGCCTAATGGATTGTAAATCTCTCCAGCCCTTTGCCAGCACTGTTCCTCAGCGTGCACATGCAGGGGTTAATGGATTGTAACTCTTCAGGCCTATTGGCAGCACTGTTCCTCAGAGTGCACATGCAGGGGTTAATGGATTGTAACTCTCTCCAGCCCTTTGCCAGCACTGTTCCTCAGAGTGAACTTCTGGATTGTCACCAGTGCTGCTCCCCAAAGACGGAGGAAGATGCTCAATTTGGGATGAGAAGTCCTCTTCAAGCTGCTACACATGCGAGATCCGGCTATTGGAATCCAGCTAGCGGATTGGATCACAAAGATGGTACGACCTTTAAGCAGCGCTTGGCCTGCGATCACCTGGCAGGATGCTGTGCCGGGTTTCCCCTGCAGGGGGCAGCAGGGAAAGGTACAGGTCTGAAGCCTTAAAGGAGAACTATGGGGTCAGTGTTTTCCCCGTAGTTCTCCTTAGGGTAACGGGAGGACACGAACTAGCGTCCTCCCGTCACCCTAGGCTCAGTATATAGGGAGCTACAGCTCGCGGTATACTGAGACGCCGCAGCCGGAGCGGATCCCGACGTAGATGACGGGATCCGCCCAGCTGCGTGAGTGACAGCTATCTAGAGGCAGAGCCAGCTGTACCCGCCCCCTCCCCCGTCCGTTCCGCCACTCAGCACTGGCGGATCGGAGCGGGGAATCCAGCCCCTCCCCCTGTCACGGCAGAGACAGGATCGAGAGGTGAGCGAATGCCGGTATGTGTTCGCTCACCTCCCGATCTACTGAGCCGACCTGTAACAGTCTCATTGTCACAGGTCGGCTAGAACTATGAGGTGAGTGAAAAGCCCCTCCCCCCCCCTCATAGTTCTCCTTTAAACAGAGTGATATACTTCATGAACTGTCACTAGCCCTGTCAAGCAGCTGCATCCACAAGTTCCCCTCTAACCCTATGGCTGTCAGCTATAGAGTTTTGCCCTGGCGCACCCATAGGCCAGTAGGGGCAACTTACTTGCCAGGGCAGTCCACACTTGGCGTAAGAACACAAGCGGACCTTTTGGTTGGCAATAAGGTCTCAGGGGCATGGTAGTTCCTGAATGAATTTACATCAGCAGTGACTTCATAGTAAGGCTGCTATGGATATGCTGCATTGCTCAGCGCCCTCTACAGCTCAAAAGACTTCGGTACATTAGGATATGCTGTTGCATTTCCAACACTTCTGACCAACTTGCCCAGTAGGTCTCGGGTTGTGGGAGCTTACAAAAGTTTGAGCATATACTGCTCAGAGTATACGCTCATGGGTCCTGTGGGAGTTCAAGACGGACATGGTCAGGTTTTTCTTCTCATGTTTCAGTCCATTCATTACCATCAGGTTCCTTGGTGCAAGCAAAGCTGGGTTATATGTTCACATATCCAAATAGTGTCTCGTAATCTTTTCCAGTCCAAAAGATGTGAAGCTTTTATCCTCTAATTGTCCTAGTGGGACAACCAGGAGACTTAAGACTGGTCTTGGTTTGAACACTTTAAACAAATGGATCAGGATCCAAATATTGCATATGGTATCACTATATCCATCACTTAAGCCATAAACTGACCATGGGACACTGTGCCTGGCAGATGTGTGTTCACATTCCTGGGGACCTGTCCTTCATCAAATGTCTTACTTGCCATATATCCAAGGTTGGTGACAATCCTTCAGGGGGGATATGTCTTCAGCATCTTGGAGTTCAGAGAGCCTTTCAGATCCAAGGAACCTCTGCGTTAGTTCAATGAACAACTGGATGATATTTTTTCCACAGATTTGGTGTCTGCTCACAGATGTATAGGAACTACTCTCTGCCGATGGAGGTACCTCTAAATCAAGGATTCCGCGCTGGACTCCCTAAAATTTCCTGGCTGATACTGTAAGCCAAGAAACCCTGGACGACTATTAATGTTTTCTTATCCAGAGGTTTCCTGTGGATCAGCAGCAAGTTGGGTTATCCAGATCTCATCCTAATGGTAATCCCTCAGAGTACAGACACTCCTTGTCAAGAAAACGTTCTAAGGGAGAGAGCAATGGATATTTGAATGCATAGGCTTCCTTCAGTCCAAATGGCTTCGGATTCCTAGATGTTACCCACAATTAGCCGGGTAGGGTTCCCTCTATTGTAGACTCTGACCCTTCTAGTCACCCTTTATATTCAGAGCTTCTACACTGGATGCTACATCCAGAAATACCTTAAGCGACTTGGAAGTGGAGTCTGCCTTGCCTGGATTACTCATCTCCTGTCAATGAGTGTTTGTTGAATACTGGAGCACCTACTCAACATCACGTATATTCTACAGTGTGGAATAATTTCATAGACTTCGCCAGCTTCATAGGTTTTGTCTCTCTTCACCTTGCCATGGTGGCTATATTGGACTTCCTTCAGGCAAGCAATGTGTACCTGGGTATCAGTATCCTCTATATATTAATCCTCCTGAGACACGAGGGGCGGCTCATTAATTGATAAGTCGGCTCTTAAAGGAGAACTATGAGGTGAGCGATTTCCACTCACCTCATAGTTCTAGCCGACCTGTGACAATGAGACTGTCGCAGGTCGGCTCAGTAGATCGGGAGGTGAGCGAACACATACCGGCGTTCGCTCACCTCTCGATCCTGTCACAAGGTAAGGATACAATTTTCCGTAATCATCACAGAGCCTCCACCTCACCACCTGACAAGAGAGCCAAGAAGATTCTAGAAGTCACCCAGAAGATTATTGAGCGGTGCCAGGGATTCTGGGACATGGTCCAGGAACAGACAAGGGATGTGTCTGGGTGGTGACTGTATCATTGTGTGTGTCAGGTTCCTATAAGGTGTCAGGATGTCTCTGTCTATTTCTCCATGGAGGAGTGGGAGTATCTAGAAGGACACCGGGATCTCTACAAGGACGTGGTGATGGAGAATGCCCCGCCCCTCACATCACCGGGTAAGAGGAGAGAGCAGTACGGAGGCTCCACCTACATCCCCCATCATCTGATACACACATAGAAACAATGTATTCAGTCAGTGTGTGTGTTTCCTACAGATGGATCCAGTAAGAGGAACCCACCAGAGAGATGTCCCCGCCCCCTGTATTCCCGGGATCCCACCCAGGAAGATCTCACCGTCCCCCACCATGATCAGGTAGGTGGGACTGAGGATGATACTTACATTATGACCTGATCATTATCTATGTTGTTACATCTGATCTCATTGTTCTCCATATACAGAGTGAGTGCGATAATGATGTTAAAGAAGAGATAAAAGAGGAGGAGGAAGTTTTAGAAGAACACAAAGACCCCTTCAATGACGTCATAATGGAGACATTCAGTGACACAAACCCACCAGAGAGATGTCCCCATCCTCTGTATTCCCGGGATTCCACACAGGAAGATCACACCATCCCTCACCATGATCAGGTAGGTGGCACTCGGTGTATAGAACACAGAAGTCATTCGGAACCTTAAAGAGGATGACACCAGGTCACTTCTACTGATCACATCTATAAAACACTTTTAATGATGTAATAATGAATGAAGAGCTGCCTTCCTTTGTGTCTTTTATATCTCTCCGGAGTTCAGCTTTATGAGATGTTTTCTATTATTTTGGGGTTTAGGGTGAAGAACGGAACAATATAAAAGCTGAGGTTAAAGAGGAAGAAGTGGAGACGTATGTGGGGGGTGACCGGCCGTCCACGGAGGAGGTCGGGATGATGATGAAAAGTGATCAGGATGACATTTCTCTACCGAGCAACACAAGTAAGTAACAGACACTATGGAGGGAACAGCCGCCAATTCCACATTGAATGGAAGGTCATACAAGCAGGAGTGAGATTCAATCACATAATGACATTAGAGGGAGGAGATACTGTACACCATATGAAGGTCCATCTCCATTCCCCAATATAACGTCATGTGACCAACAAATGACGAGGAGATACTGGACACCATATGAAGGTCCATCTCCATTCCTCAATACAACGTCATGTGACCAACAAATGAGGAGGAGATACTGTACACCATATGAAGGTCCATCTCCACCTAGCGGGCAGCGGGTGATATTCAGCTATATAGTCAGGATATCTACCCACACTATGGCATATGACGTCTATGGTGCCGTCTCGGCCTTCTTGCTAAACCACAGGCCAGTAGACCTAATAAAGTCCTGCCAGCGTTGGGGCCCTTTAAGTTGGAATGGAAAAGTCACTGGACAGCCTCTCGCCACAGCCAATGACCGTGTCTCCGTTAATGGTTCCGCCATTGGCCAGCGACCCTGGACCCTGGCCCTCTCTAGCCAGGGTCCAGCAGATCTCTGGTCAGTTCTCGGATCTCTGGTCAGTTCTCAGGTTGGTAAGGACCGGGTACCGGTCTCAGTCTCAGCAGTCTCTGACCTCTGCACTTCGATCCCCTGAACATCCGCTCCCCGCAGAGATAGTACCACCGTCTCCAGTAGTGACAACAGCAGTGATCTGGACCCGGAGTAGCAGAAAGTCTTTCACACCTCCGTCCACTCGTTATCACAGTAGGGGGAACGCTCCCTCCTCCTTCCCCCTTCCCTCCTGTGCCGAGTGGGGATTGTAGTTCCAGGTTACACCGGCTGGTTGTGGAACTTCAACTCCCACAAATCCATTCTGCCCCCCTCAGGTGACATTTTATTGATTTTATACATATTTTTATTTTTTTACTTTACTGTCTGAGGCTTCGGGGAAATATTGGGGGTCTAAACAGACCGCTGATATTTCCCTTTTTAAAATAGAAAATGAGATTGAGGACACAGAGCCCTCGGAGACGCGGAGTCCCCATAGACGCGGAGTCCCCATAGACGCGGAGTCCCCAGTCTCTTTTTCTGGATCCCCAGTTATCAATGAACAGGAATCCTCTACACTGAGTGTCCTTGTTACATAGTTACATAGTATTTGAGGTTGAATAAAGACATTAGTCCATCAAGTCCAACCTATAGGATCTCATTCTAGGAGTTCCTGTACCCCTGTATATTACCTGTACCCCCTGTATATGTCATTCATGACATGAGGACAGAGTGTGTTTACTATGTCCACAATCGTGAATGAACAGGAAGTGATGTAGAGCACTTCCTGTTCATTCATAATTGGGGACATACTCTGTCCTCAATTATTTACAAGCAGTCAACAATCCACTGAGTGCTTCTACTCGCTCTCCATCCTGACAGCTGTCACGGGAGACTGTGCGGGGAGGAGAGCTCGGCCTCCTGTGACAGCTGTCTCCGCCCCCACACCGCCTCTCTCCATTCTGATTTGTCCCCGTCGAGCGGTGCGGGAGGAGAGCCCAGCCTCTTATGACACGCCGGCCGCTACCCCGCACCGCTCGGCCGTCCTGTGACAGGCATGCATTGTAATTTCAGCATTTTGGCAAAAGTGCCATTTTTTGGGACGATATGTTTCGGCGGCTGAAATTTCGGTGCATCCCTAGTTACAATTGTACCCAATTCCATGCCAGAGCTCTGTGATGACTTCTAGACCAACATACATGACTCTGATTACTGACGTGTGTAATAATTTCTCTCCAGCAGATGGATGTGATGTCAGGAATACCTCGGAGAGACATCTTATATTATCTGCTGGTTGTAAGTCAGAAGATAATGTCATCACACAGGATTCTCCAGGAGTGAATCCCGAGGAATCTTCCTCACCCCATGAAGGAGATCACAGAGGAGAGAGAGAATTCTCATGTTTGGGGTGCGGGAAATCCTTCAAGACAAACGCTGAACTGCATATCCATCTCCTATCCCACACCAGTGTAAAATTTACATGTCCAGAGTGCGGGAAATCTTTTAACAAGGAAATCGATTTTTTTCAACACCAGAGAATTCACACGGGCGACGATCCTTATTCGTGTTCAGAGTGTGGGAAAGGTTTTACTAAAAAACAACATCTACTTGTACACCAGAAAACTCACACAGGAGATCATCGGTTTTCATGTTTACAGTGCGGAAAATGTTTTAATAAGGAAAGCAAATTTCTTACGCACCAGAGAGTTCACATGGGCAAGGATCCTTATTCGTGTTCAGAGTGTGGGAAAGGTTTTACTAATAAAAAACATCTGCTTCTACACCAGAAAACTCACAAAGGAGATCGTCGTTTCTCATGTTCAGAGTGCGGAAAATTCTTTATTAAGGAAAGTAAATTTCTTACACACCAGAGATGTCACACGGGCGAGGAACCTTTTTCATGTTCAGAGTGTGGAAAAGGTTTTGCTAATAAAAAACAGCTACTTCTACACCAGAAAACTCACAAAGGAAGTTGTCGTTTTTCATGTTCCGAGTGCGGACATTTTTTTATGAAAGAAAGCAAATTGATTAGACACCAGAGAATTCACACGGGTGAGGATCCTTTTTCGTGTTCCAAGTGTGGGAAAGGTTTTACTTATAAAAAACAGCTACTTCTACATCAGAAAACTCACAGAAGAGATCATCGTTTTTCATGTTCAGAATGTGAAAAAACTTTTAATAAGGAAAGTAAGTTTCTTATACACCAGGTCATACACGGAGGCGTTCACCCTTTTTCATGTTCAGAATGTGGAAAATGTTTCAGTGTTAAAAATAGACTTCTAAAACACCAGAAGATTCACTCAGGTGTTCGCCCCTTTTCTTGTTCAGAGTGCGGGAAATCGTTTATTAAGAAAGGAGACCTTGTTATACACCAGAGAATTCACACAGGTGAACGTCCTCATTCATGTTCAGAGTGCGGGAAATCTTTCACTCAAAAAGGACACCTTGTTAGTCACCAGAGATATCACACAGGTGAGCGTCCTTACTCATGTTCACAGTGCGGGAAAAGTTTTAGTTGGAAAAGGTACCTTGTTGCACACCAGAGAATTCACACAGGCGTGCTTCCATATTCATGTTCAGAGTGCGGGAGATCATTCTCTTTAAAAGGAGCCCTTGATACACACCACAGAACTCACACAGGTGAGCGTCCTTTCTCATGTTCAGAGTGCGGGAAAGCATTTACTCAGAAAGGAGCTCTTAATATACACCAGAGAATTCACACGGGTGAACGTCCTTATCCGTGTTCAGAGTGTGGGAAAAGTTTCACAGATAAAAGATTACTCCTGTCACACCAAAGAATTCACGCGGATGAGTGTCCTTAGTTATGTTCAGGGTGCGGGAAACTATTACTCGAAAAATAAGTCTTCTTTCACATCTGACAATCCACACGGGTGAGCGTCCTTATTCGTGTTCAGACTGCAGGAAATCTTTCACTCAGAGACGAGCCTTTGTTACACACCAGAGAATTCACACAGCTAACTGTCCTTTCTCATGTTGAGCGTGTGGGAAATGTTTCACTCAGAAGTCTTTTCATACACCAGAGAACCCACAGCGGTGAGGGACCTTTTTCATAACCGGAGTGTAGGAAATGTTTTACAGATAAAAGAAGTCTATTTAGACATCAGAGAGAATGTTCCTGGTCATTCTTTCATATGATGGATTTTTTCCGGTGGAACTGTTCAGTCCATAGAACAACTGGAGGATAAAATCATTTATAAAGCGCTCATCCCGGGATAAGTGATATTTCATTTACAGGTGAAGTCTGATGGTTCGTCTATGTCTTGGGAGTCTCAGATGGTGGGACATTTCCTAATCCTTATCAATTAGGCGCAGGTCGTTATAAAGGGCCACACCTCTAGAAAAGTGTTGTACGTGTTTTATCGAAGTCGCCCCGATGTGTGTTCTGGAGACTTTTCATCATTGCAATGTAAGACTCTGGAAGAGACCGGATCTGATAAGAGCTTCATATCCTTTCCTCATATTGATTTTCATTCTTTTATTTTGTCGTAATTATAAATATTAAACCGCAGGTATGAATGATGGAAGTGGGCGGAGTCACCCGTATCTAGAAGCACTGTATGTAAAAAAAAAAAAATGTAACTTGCAAAGTTCAATTAATAAAACGTTTGTACACAATGTGCGGGAAATGTACGGTTTGTCTTTTCAGTCACAAGGACGGCGGTCCATGTGGAGGATTGCAGAAAAGAGAAGACTGTGGTGGGTTGCTGCGGATTCCTGCACATAATTGGCGCGCTCTCTTGGCACTGTTCTCTAACATGGTGGGCGTCCTTAGCGGATCTATAATTGGCAGTCAATTAAAGAGAAATTTTTGTATAAACTGTGCGTGGGACGAGGACACCCAGGAACAGTCCAAGCGAGTTTGTCCTGCACGTTTGTTTCAGCAAGGCAAATATATCCGGGTCTCTAACCTATTGGCCAGAGTTAGCTAACATTCCTAGCCTGGTGTCTCTAGTGGAGGATCTCAGTTGGCTGTGCGGGGTGTCAAGAAGGCTGCGCAGAGTCTTTGTTGACTCTGCAGGGTCTGAGGCAGCTGTGTGGGGTCTCAGTAGGGCTGTGTAGGGTCTATGGTGGGCTGTGTAGGCTCTATGGTGGGGTCTTATGTGGGCTTTGCAGGGCCTGTGGTGGGCTGTGTGGGGTCTCATGTGGGCTGTGTAGGGCCTATGGTGGGGTCTCATGTGGGCTTTGCAGTGCCTATGGTGGGCTGTGTGGGGTCTCAGGAGGGCTGTGCAGGGTCTCTGGTGGGCTGTGCGGGGACTAACCAGGGGTCCTGGTTGGTCTTGTAGGTGGGTGCCGGTGGTGTGGTTACACAGGAAGAGGAGGAGATCTCGGGAGTCTTCCTGTGAATGGCGGCGCCAATAAACAGATACCAGCCATCTATCACCCCACATCTGTTGGGCTCAGCCAAACCTCTCATTCCACTTCATTGGAAGGATCGCAAACCCCCCTCCATGAAGGATCAGTTTGGATAAAATTTTACCAAAATTTGCTCACTGGAAAAATTGACTTCTAGTTTCAACAACTACAGAGTTCCCTTCCACAACCCCCGGGCCTGCTGGACGGTCTATCGATCTACAATAAGTCATATTTAAAGGTGATGTCCCTCACTGGAGGCACAGAGACGGAACCTTTCCCACCACCATTTAGATGATTTCATTATCTTGATATCCCCGCTCATGATGATGACCTCGGCTCAGAGAAGTCTCGCTTTCTCTCTCTTTGTTACCTTACTTGCTTTTTTCTGTGATATATTGAAGTCAATTGACAAAACGTGCGCATACGTGCGTAAAAACGCTCAAAACCTATTGGAACGCGCGGTTTCTATTGAGTCTATGGGGCCAAAAAGAAGCTCGTGTACTTTTCCCGGCGACAAAACGCACGGGGTGTGTACAGGGGCCGTACGAATGAATAGGATTTTTTCGGTGAAGCTTTTGGTCAGGCTGAAGGATGAGCGCAGTACTTATATTCAACACAAGGTGGTGATCTCATGTGGGAATCCCAGACAGGAAGTGATGTAAAGTACAAACAGGAAGTGATGTAAGAGTATAAAAAGGAAGTTCCGGGTGAAAGGTGAATTGAACGTAAGTTGAGAGGAGACATTGCTGGAAGTGGGATCAGTGGAGGTAATAAGATATTCTATATTTAGGGTAACCCCCCTCCCTCCCCCCCTGTCATGTCCGTCCTCGTCCTCCATAGTCACTGTGACGTCTTTTATCTCCAACTGCTACACCGAAATATATTCATCTTCACAGAACATCACCGATCACAGAGCCTCCATCTCACCTCCTGACCATAGAGGTGACCAGAGCCAAGAAGATTCTAGAGGTCACCAAGAAGATCACTGATCTGCTGACGGGAGAGGTGAGCGGTGCCGGGAATTCTGGGACATGATCCAGGAACAGACAAGGGGTGTGTCTGGGTGGTGACTGTATCATTGTGTGTGTCAGGTTCCTATAAGGTGTCAGGATGTCTCCGTCTATTTCTCCATGGAGGAGTGGGAGTATCTAGAAGGACACCGGGATCTCTACAAGGACGTGGTGATGGAGAATGCCCCGCCCCTCACATCACCGGGTAAGAGGAGAGAGCAGTACGGAGGGTCCACCTAGATCCCCCATCATCTGATACACACATAGAAACAATGTATTCAGTCAGTGTGTGTGTTTCCTACAGATGGATCCAGTAAGAGGAACCCACCAGAGAGATGTCCCCGTCCTCTGTATTCCCGGGATTCCACACAGGAAGATCTCGCCATCCCCCACCATGATCAGGTAGATGAGACTGACCAAACATGTCTTCTAGGCAATAGAATTCCATTCCCCTATAAAATCTCAGGTTCCTTCGTATAGATATTTTTTATCATCTTTGGGGTTTAGGGTGAAGAGCTAAAAAACATCAAAGTTGAAGTTAAAAAAGAAGAAGAAGAGACATTGGTGATGGGAGATCTGCAATATATGGAGGGAGGTCCTCTGTATTCCCGGGATTCCACACAGGAAGATCTCAGCATCTCACATAAGGTGAAATAGAGAAATAATAGGAGATACTTCCATATGACCTCTTCATTATCTATGTAGTTACATCTGATCTCATTGTTCTCAATATTCAGAGTGAGTGTGATAATGATGTTAAAGAAGAAATAAAAGAGGAGGAGGAGGAGGAGCTTGGTGTGATGGAGGAGTTTTCAGAAGAACACAAAGATCCCTTCAATGACGTCATGATGGAGACATTCCGTGACACAAACCCACCAGAGAGATGTCCCCGTCCTCTGTATTCCCGGGATTCCACACAGGAAGATCTCACCCTCCCCCACCATGATCAGGTAGATGGCACTCGGTGTATAGAACACAAAAGTGATAGTGAACTTTAAAAAGGACACCAGATCACTTCTACTGCTCACATCTACAGAACACATTTAATGATGTATTCATGAATACAGAGCTGCATTCCTTTGTGTATTCTATCTCTCCCCGGAGTTCAGCTTTATGAGATGTTTTCTATTATTTTGGGGTTTAGGGTGAAGAACGGAACAATATAAAAGTTGAGGTTAAAGAGGAAGAAGTGGAGACGTATGTGGGGGGTGACCGGCCGTCCACGGAGGAGGTCGGGATGATGATGAAAAGTGATCAGGATGACATTTCTCTACCGAGCAACACAAGTAAGTAACAGACACTATGGAGGGAACAGGTCACAGTTCTATGTCACTCCTGAGTAGAAGGTGTGACGTTTAAGGGATCATGTTGGAGAATTATCAGATCTTCACATCATCAGATAAGATGAGACTGAATTATAAATGGTGGACCATCAAAGTTGTGAAGGAGATTCCCCAGAAGAAGTCATCTCCCCTATTGTAGGATGAAGGGGTCGTCATCTCCTGATTAGTGTTAGGACGGTTGGGGGTAATTTACAGCAAATAAACTCTCATCAAATGTTCCATTAGTGTCACCATCCCCCGAATCGTCCAGTGAATGTATGATAAAATGATGTCCCCAACAAATGAGGAGATACTGTACACCATATGAAGGTCCATCTCCATTCCTCAATATAACGTCATGTGACCAACAAATGAGGAGGAGATACTGTACACCATATGAAGGTCCATCTCCATTCCTCAATATAACGTCATGTGACCAACAAATGAGGAGGAGATACTGGACACCATGTGAAGGTCCATCTCCATTCCTCGAAGGTATGGTAACGGGGCCCCACTCCACCCCAACGAGGGAACATTTAAATGACCAAATAAATCATTAAAAAGAAGCACAGGTAGACCCTAAATTTAGTTTCAGATAAAGTGGAAGCCTTCACCTACCTTCACATAACCCCCCCTGCCCCCACCTCCCCCTGACAGTGGATGGGTAGAGTTGTCCCAATAGTCAAACAACGAACGAAGGAGCGCTACAACCCTGGAATACTGGGTGTTTAACAGTGAAAAGATATAGTTGTAACTATTGATGGAGACTCACTTTTGGACGGACGAGGTGGTATCTTGCCGTTAATTGTCAGCACGGCTCGCAGGGCGGAATCTGTGGCTGGTCTGTGTGGGAGTGAGCTCCGGGCTGTGGGGCTTCTGTTCAGTCCATGGATGTTGGAAGGTGAATCTTGTGGCCGGATGACACTTTTCACTGTTAAACACCCAGTATTCCAGGGTTGTAGCGCTCCTTCGTTCGTTGTTTCACATTGTCCACAGGGTCCCTCTCCCTGATTTAGGAGCTCGCTCACCCACACCCGGTATTTAAAGTCTTTTTTTAATTATTATTTATATATATAAAATGAAAAAAGTTTTTTAAAAAAAAATTGCTTTTAAAGTTTTTTTTTTAAAGTTATTTAAGGTTTTTCCATACTGTCCACACCTGTTGTGCGCTCGCCACTCCCATTGTTTTTGTCCCAATAGTCAAAGCCTGCCTTCAAAATCCCACTGGTTTCCACTATGAGCCGCGTGGCATAGGTGCAGCCAACCTCCGAAACCCTTGGAGCAGCAGAAGGCCTTCGAGGGCAGCCAAAGAGAAGCCAATCAGTGCAATGGTACCTTGGCGAGCTGGTGAGGGTTCTGAGCCGGACACGTCTAGAGGTCCATATCAGAGGGACAAGTGTAGACTTCCTCCACGGGAAAATCTCTCCAAATGTTTCTGAATCCAAAACGGAGGGAGTAGGCGTTGGCTAGGACCTCCCATCTGTGTTTGGACGGTCCCTTGCTAGGTGAGCCAGGGAATACGTTTGAGTTCATCTCCATATGTTCCTCCTCCTCCTCTTCTCCTTCCTCGTCATCCGTATCGTCGTCATCAAAGTCTACATCTTCCTCCTTCACCTTTTGTGCTTAGAATCTTCATCCTCTGATTTCTGAACCTGGGGTGCGTGGAAAGATCAGAGAAGTCCGATTCCGGGATAAGGTTGAGCTGGATGCTGTGGTAGTGGTGGTTGAATTGGTGGTGTTGGGAATAGACGGGATGGTCACTGCCGCGGCGGCTGCTGCCAAAGTGGCTCCGTCGGCTAACGAAGGGAAGGGGGGGTGGAGGAGTCCGGTGACGTCACGGACATCGACGTCGCCAGACTCCTCCCCCCCCCCCCTTCCCTTCGTACAAAAGAATTAACGATTAAGCGAGGGATTCATCTTTAATTTCCGCAGCCCTAGTTTTCATATTTTGGGGTTACAATTGGACCCAATTCCATGCCAGAGCTCTGTGATGACTTCTAGACCAACATACATGACTCTGATTACTGACGTGTGTAATGATTTCTCTCCGGCAGATGGATATGATGTCAGGAATACCTCGGAGAGACATCTTATATTATCTGCTGGTTGTAAGTCAGAAGATAATGTCATCACACAGGATTCTCCAGGAGTGAATCCAAACACACAAAATATACATCACAGACCTCACTGCTCGGAGACATCAATGGATCCCTCTGATCAGGGTGAATCTTCTGATCATTCACATCCTATGACTGGAAATATCCATCTAAGATCTCACACTGCAAGAGATCCATCTAATCCCGAGGAATATTCCTCACCCCATGAAGGAGATCACAGAGGTGAGAGAGAATTCTCATGTTTGGGGTGCGGGAAATGCTTCAAGACATATGCTGAACTTCATATCCATCTCCAATCTCATACCAGTGTCATTTTTACATGTTCAGAGTGCGGGAAATCTTTTAAAAAAGAAATTGATTTTTTTCAACACCAGAGAATTCACACGGGTGACGATCCTTATTCATGTTCAGAGTGTGGGAAAGGTTATACTAAAAAACAACATCTACTTGCACACCAGAAAACTCACACAGGAGATCATCGTTTTTCATGTCTACAGTGCGGAAAATGTTTTAATAAGGAAAGCAAATTTCTTACGCACCAGAGAGTTCACATGGGCAAGGATCCTTATTCGTGTTCAGAGTGTGGGAAAGGTTTTACTAATAAAAAGCATCTGCTTATACACCAGAAAACTCACAAAGGGGATCATCGTTTCTCATGTTCAGAGTGCGGAATTTTTTTTATTGAGGAAAGCAGATTTCTTCAACACCAGAGAATTCACACGGGCGAAGATACGTTTTCATGTTCAGCGTGTGGGAAATATTTTCCTAGTAAAAAACAGCTACTTCTACACCAGAAAACTCACAAAGGGGATCATTGTTTTTCATGTTCAGAGTGTGGAAAAGGTTTTATTAAGGAAAGTAAACTTCTTACACACCAGAGAATTCACACGGGCGAGGATACGTTTTCATGTTCAGCGTGTGGGAAAGGTTTTCCTAGTAAAAAACAGCTACTTCTACACCAGAAAACTCACAAAGGGGATCATTGTTTTTCATGTTCAGAGTGTGGAAAAGGTTTTATTAAGGAAAGCAAATTTCTTACACACCAGAAAATTCACACGGTTGAGGATCCTTTTTCGTGTTCCGAGTGTGGGAAAAGTTTTACTTATAAAAAACAGCTACTTCTACACCAGAGAACTCACAGAAGAGATCATCGTTTTTCATGTTCAGAATGCGAAAAATGTTTTAATAAGGAAAGTAAGTTTCTTATACACCAGGTCATACACGGAGGCGTTCACCCTTTTTCATGTTCAGAATGTGGAAAATGTTTCAGTGTTAAAAATAGACTTCTAAAACACCAGAAGATTCACTCAGGTGTTCGCCCCTTTTCTTGTTCAGAGTGCGGGAAATTGTTTATTCATAAAGCAGACCTTCTTATACACCAGAGAATTCACACAGGTGAGCGTCCTTATTCATGTTCAGAGTGCGGGAAAAGCTTCACTTATAAAGGAGCCCTTGTTCTACACCAGAGAATTCACACTGATGTGCGTCCTTATTCATGTTCAGAGTGCGGGAAAACTTTCACCCATAAACGAGCCCTTGTTATACACCAGAGAAGTCACACGGGTGAGCGTCCTTATTCATGTTCAGAGTGCGGGAAATCTTTCATTCATAAAGGAGCTCTTGTTCTACACCAGAGAATTCACACGGGTGAGCGTCCTTATTCATGTTCAGAGTGCGGGAAAAGTTTTAGTTGGAAAAGATGCCTTGTTGCGCACCACAGAACTCACACAGGTGAGCGTCCTTTCTCATGTTCAGAGTGCGGGAAAGCATTTACTCAGAAAGGAGCTCTTAATATACACCAGAAAATTCACACGCGTGAACGTCCTTATTCGTGTTCAGAGTGTGGGAAAAGTTTTAACGATAAAACATTACTCCTGTCACACCAAAGAAATCACACGGATGAGTGTCTTTAGTCATGTTCAGGGTTCGGGAAATGATTACTCAAGCCTTGTTTGACATCTGACAATTCACGTAGACTGCAGGAAATCTTTCACTCAGAGAGAAGCCTTTGTTACGCACCAGAGAGAATTCACACTAACTGTCCTTTCTCATGTTGAGTGTCTGGGAAAAGTTTCACTCAGAAGTTAAACACCAGAGAAGCACTGCACAAACTGATGGTCGTATATAAATCCCATGTAATTATAATAACCCACAAAGGTGAGGGACCTTTTTCATAACCGGCGTGCGGGAAAGGTTTGACAGATAAAAGAAGTCTAATTAGACATCAGAGAGACGTTCCTGCTCATTGTTTCGTATGATGTATTTTAGCAGGTGGAACTGTTCAGTCCATAGAACAACTGGAGGATTAAGTCATTCATAAAGGGCTTCATCCTGGGATAAGTGATATTTCATGTATAGGTGAAGTCTGATGGGTCAAGTCTTCTCTTGGCGTCGTCTGTGTCTTGCAGACTCCGATGGCGGGACTTTTCTAATCCTTTCTAAAAAAAAGCATTGAACTTGTTTTATTGAATTCCCCCGATGTGTGTTCTGCAGACTTTCCATCAATATGAAACTCCAGAAGAGACCGGATCTGATGAGAGTTGCCTATCCTTTCCTCATACATTCATTCCCGGTGATAGGATTCTCCAGAAGTGAAAGTTACAATCTGTGGTAGAAATCTGTGCTGTGAGCCGCTGGTCGGGGCTGATCGCTCAGATCCGGGCTCTACTCTCTGTACTAATTTGCTGCATCAATTTTCAGGTTGTTTTTCCATTCTTTTATTTTTCCATAATTATAAATATTAAACCGCGGGTATGAATGATGGAAGCGGGCGGAGTCACCTGTATCTGTAGAAAATCAATAAAACGTTTGTACGCAATGTGCGGGAAAGGTGCGATTTGATTTTTCACTCACAAGAACGGCGTTCCGTGTAGAGCAGGGGTCTCAAACCTCCGGCCCTCCAGCTGTGAGTGAAAACTACAAATCCCATGAGGCATCTCTCTCCGGGAGTCGTGGCTGTGAGAATCTTGCAATGCAACATGGGATTTGTAGTTCCACCACAGCTGGAGGGCCGGAGGTTTGAGACCCCTGATGTAGAGGATTGCAGAGAACACAGGACGGTGGTGGGCGGAGTCACCTGTATCTTAAAGCAGTGTCCAGCTAAATAAACCTTTTGCACAAAGTGTCAGATTTGGGTCTTTCCATGGCGACGGTGAATGTAGAGAAGAAGGGATGATGGTGGGCGGTCCGTGCGGGTTGCTGCGCAGCAGGTAAGATGGATCGCCACCACGTAGGCCCGCAGATCCGAGCTGGGCCGCGGGGATGGGAAAGAGCTGTAAGAGGAGGAGAAGGGACCCACGGGCAACCGGGTCAGCGGACCGAGCAGGCTCAGCCTTCGTAAACGTATTCCCATAAGGCCGGCGCATCGATCGCTCCCCTGTCAGTCGCCGGATACAGAGTCGAGCGGACCCACCAGTGAGTAATGATAGGAGATGGGCCGGCACTGAGAAGGGGAACGATCAGCGAGGCTGACCCACCGTACGCGGGAACGTTGAAAGGGGAGGGGCAGAGAGAACGGAGACCAATGTGAAGGAGGAGATGGTGTCTGAAATGCTGGAGAAATATCTAAATGTGCTCCCGCCGAAAAAGAGATCCGGGCTCCAACGTCTGGATCGGCCGAGCCGAAGCTCCAACAGCTCGCTCCTAGAAATTCTCATATGGGCCGAGCGGATAGCCGAATGCCGCCGCTCGGGTATTCTGCTCGGGAACCTCCGAGGTAGCTTCTGGTAACTTTAAAGAAACCTGCCAAAAAAAGAATTTACGATTTCGGGGGATACAAATCAGTTCAAATCTGATTTCACACATAGGGGGACTGAACGGGAAGACGAAGAGAGGAGATAGTGGCGGATTAATAACAAGGGGACACTTACAGATGACAATCGAGCTGCAGCTCACGATTATTTTCAAAAACCGATTAGTTGTCCGATTATTACATCCGATTAATCGTATTAAAAAAAAAAAAGGCTCCAGTGATGGGACTACTAGTTTGTATTGAGATTGCAGTCCATCACAGGAGCAAGCTTGGAGCGGCGGAAGTAAAAAAAAAAAGTGTGGTGTGCAATCGATTGGCAATCAATGCGGAATGGCACCGGCTATAGAGGACTACAAATCCCAGCAATAGTACGGTATACAGCGCAATGCGCAGGGCTTGGAGAATTTGAGGGTGTTTTAAAAATCTCACCAGTCAGCATGAGCGGACTATCGGCCTTGCAATTTATGTTTTTTGGGGACACATAGAGCATTGTTTTGGAGGTATATAATCACCACTGGGGGGGG